GGAAGTAATGGAGAGAGCCCATTGGCTTAGGCTAGTCATGCAATCCATGAATGGAAGTAATGGAGAGAGCCCATTGGCTTAGGCTAGTCATGCAATCCATGAATGGAAGTAATGGAGAGAGCCCATTGGCTTAGGCTAGTCATGCAATCCATGAATGGAAGTAATGGAGAGAGCCCATTGGCTTAGGCTAGTCATGCAATCCATGAATGGAAGTAATGGGGCGACCCCATTGGCTTAGGCTAGTCATGCAATGGATGAATGGAAGTAATGAGAGCCCATTGGCTTAGGCTAGTCATGCAATCCATGAATGGAAGTAATGGAGAGAGCCCATTGGCTTAGGCTAGTCATGCAATCCATGAATGGAAGTAATGGAGAGAGCCCATTGGCTTAGGCTAGTCATGCAATCCATGAATGGAAGTAATGGAGAGAGCCCATTGGCTTAGGCTAGTCATGCAATCCATGAATGGAAGTAATGGAGAGAGCCCATTGGCTTAGGCTAGTCATGCAATCCATGAATGGAAGTAATGGAGAGAGCCCATTGGCTTAGGCTAGTCATGCAATCCATGAATGGAAGTAATGGAGAGAGCCCATTGGCTTAGGCTAGTCATGCAATCCATGAATGGAAGTAATGGAGAGAGCCCATTGGCTTAGGCTAGTCATGCAATCCATGAATGGAAGTAATGGAGAGAGCCCATTGGCTTAGGCTAGTCATGCAATCCATGAATGGAAGTAATGGAGAGAGCCCATTGGCTTAGGCTAGTCATGCAATCCATGAATGAAAGTAATGGAGAGAGCCCATTGGCTTAGGCTAGTCATGCAATCCATGAATGAAAGTAATGGAGAGAGCCCATTGGCTTAGGCTAGTCATGCAATCCATGAATGGAAGGAATGGAGAGAGCCCATTGGCTTAGGCTAGTCATGCAATCCATGAATGGAAGGAATGGAGAGAGCCCATTGGCTTAGGCTAGTCATGCAATCCATGAATGGAAGGAATGGAGAGAGCCCATTGGCTTAGGCTAGTCATGCAATCCATGAATGGAAGGAATGGAGAGAGCCCATTGGCTTAGGCTAGTCATGCAATCCATGAATGGAAGGAATGGAGAGAGCCCATTGGCTTAGGCTAGTCATGCAATCCATGAATGGAAGGAATGGAGAGAGCCCATTGGCTTAGGCTAGTCATGCAATCCATGAATGGAAGGAATGGAGAGAGCCCATTGGCTTAGGCTAGTCATGCAATCCATGAATGGAAGGAATGGAGAGAGCCCATTGGCTTAGGCTAGTCATGCAATCCATGAATGGAAGGAATGGAGAGAGCCCATTGGCTTAGGCTAGTCATGCAATCCATGAATGGAAGGAATGGAGAGAGCCCATTGGCTTAGGCTAGTCATGCAATCCATGAATGGAAGGAATGGAGAGAGCCCATTGGCTTAGGCTAGTCATGCAATCCATGAATGGAAGGAATGGAGAGAGCCCATTGGCTTAGGCTAGTCATGCAATCCATGAATGGAAGTAATGGAGAGAGCCCATTGGCTTAGGCTAGTCATGCAATCCATGAATGGAAGGAATGGAGAGAGCCCATTGGCTTAGGCTAGTCATGCAATCCATGAATGGAAGGAATGGAGAGAGCCCATTGGCTTAGGCTAGTCATGCAATCCATGAATGGAAGGAATGGAGAGAGCCCATTGGCTTAGGCTAGTCATGCAATCCATGAATGGGAGTAATGAGGAGGCCCCATTGGCTTAGGCTAGTCATGCAATCCATGAATGGAAGTAATAAGGAGACCCCATTGGCTTAGGCTAGTCATGCAATCCATGAATGGATGTAATGGGGCGACCCCATTGGCTTAGGCTAGTCATGCAATCCATGAATGGAAGTAATGGAGAGAGCCCATTGGCTTAGGCTAGTCATGCAGTCCATGAATGGAAGTAATAAGGAGACCCCATTGGCTTAGGCTAGTCATGCAATCCATGAATGGATGTAATTGAGAGAGCCCATTGGCTTAGGCTAGTCATGCAATCCATGAATGGATGTAATTGAGAGAGCCCATTGGCTTAGGCTAGTCATGCAATCCATGAATGGATGTAATTGAGAGAGCCCATTGGCTTAGGCTAGTCATGCAATCCATGAATGGATGTAATTGAGAGAGCCCATTGGCTTAGGCTAGTCATGCAATCCATGAATGGATGTAATTGAGAGAGCCCATTGGCTTAGGCTAGTCATGCAATCCATGAATGGATGTAATTGAGAGAGCCCATTGGCTTAGGCTAGTCATGCAATCCATGAATGGATGTAATTGAGAGAGCCCATTGGCTTAGGCTAGTCATGCAATCCATGAATGGATGTAATTGAGAGAGCCCATTGGCTTAGGCTAGTCATGCAATCCATGAATGGATGTAATTGAGAGAGCCCATTGGCTTAGGCTAGTCATGCAATCCATGAATGGATGTAATTGAGAGAGCCCATTGGCTTAGGCTAGTCATGCAATCCATGAATGGATGTAATTGAGAGAGCCCATTGGCTTAGGCTAGTCATGCAATCCATGAATGGATGTAATTGAGAGAGCCCATTGGCTTAGGCTAGTCATGCAATCCATGAATGGATGTAATTGAGAGAGCCCATTGGCTTAGGCTAGTCATGCAATCCATGAATGGATGTAATTGAGAGAGCCCATTGGCTTAGGCTAGTCATGCAATCCATGAATGGATGTAATTGAGAGAGCCCATTGGCTTAGGCTAGTCATGCAATCCATGAATGGATGTAATTGAGAGAGCCCATTGGCTTAGGCTAGTCATGCAATGGATGAATGGAAGTAATGAGACCCTATTGGCTTAGGCTAGTCATGCAATCCATGAATGGAAGTAATGGGGAGAGCCCATTGGCTTAGGCTAGTCATGCAATCCATGAATGGAAGCAATGGAGAGAGCCCATTGGCTTAGTCCAGTCATGCAATCCATGAATGGAAGTAATGAGGCGACCCCATTGGCTCAGGCTAATCACAGCTTCCTCCTTTCATCTTGCAGAAAAACGAAGACTACAACAATCCAGAGAGCCTTCATTCAGAGCTGTCCTTCCTCCCGACTCATAAATTTCATACTGAAGAACATTTTTTATGGCTATAAATTGTTTAGACTGTGATTATCAATGAAGCAGGGAAATTTTGGAAAACGTTTTGTCTCTCGTACATTCTTGATTCGCCTTTTCTAGCTACCCGTGTAATAATTTTAACATTAGCCAAAGGTTTAAATTGTCTAGGAAATTGAAAAGAAAAAAAAAAGGAAACAGCCAAATGACTCTTGGGTTAACAAGGAAATAAATCTTGCAGTTTTAATAAATGGCAAAGAGGAAAACGGCAATGAGAGGTTGGCCAGGTCGCTCAGTTGGGTGGAGCATTGTCTCGATAAGCCAAGGTTTCAGGTTTGATCCCCTCAGGACACATACAAGAATCAACCAATGAATGCATAAATCGGGGGGACCATGTTTCTCTCTCAAATTTTTTAAAGAATGACAGAGTTTTTTACATCCCAACAGACTTTAAATGTTGTGAGACATGAAAACCTGTAAGATTACACTCAAATAGCCGAAACCTGTTTGGCTCAGTGGATAGAGCGTCGGCCTGCGGACTGAAGGGTCCCAGGTTCGATTCCGGTCAAGGGCATGTACCTGGGTTGCAGGCACATCCCCAGTAGGAGATGTGCAGGAGGCAGCTGATCGATGTCTCTCTCTTATCGATGTTTCTAACTCTCTATCTCTCTCCCTTCCTCTCTGTAAAAAATCAGTAAAATATATTTTTTTAAAAAAGATTATACTCAAATATATTAACTGTACTATTCAAGAAGCCAGAAGAGAGGACACCAAACATCACTATGATGAAAGAACAAATTATTACAAAACGATGAAGTAGAAAGTGGTCGTCTTACAATAATGTGAGTTTTTATTTCCTCCTGACCCTGGAGTAAACTAATTTTAGGCGATGGTGTCTTAGTTCCCAGCTCATTTGATTGTTTGGGGTTATTTTTATACCTTCTGTCACGGACGGAGCGGTTGGTTGCCTGCCTAATAGCCATACTCATTTCCCCTTCCTATTGGCCCATCTGTGTCGTGGCCTTAGAATCTGAAGGTGTCCGGTGCCGATTTTCAGCCTCTGCAGCTCAAGATGGTCTGTCTATTCCAGGGGCCTGTGGGTCCTGGGAAGGATTCTCCTCCTTCAGAAGAGACATGTATTAGGAAGACTCCCTCTCCTCTCACTTCTGCTCTTAAACATTTTCCTCTAAGACATGACGCCCAGAGCTACTGCAGCCATCTTGGAACCAAGAGACAAAACAGAGAAGCTGACTCAACAGCCCTGGCAACACTGAGCAAGGAGACCACTTCTGAGATTTTCTTTGACGCCTTGTTCTGTGAGGAAGAGAAACCTTTTCCGCTAAAGTTGATGGGTACCTGTGGCCTAGAAGCCAATACCTACTCTTTAAATTTTTGACATTTTTCTTTATGGCTAAGTACGAGTTGATTTCTGTATAGTTCATAACACACAGACATGCATATACACACACGTTTATTGTTAATCCTTACCCAAGGATATTTTTCCATTGCTTTTTAAAATATATATATATATTATTGATTTTTTACAGAGAGGAAGGGAGAGGGATAGAGAGTTAGAAACATCGATCAGCCGCCTCCTGCACATCTCCTACTGGGGATGTGCCTGCAACCAAGGTACATGCCCTTGACCGGAATCGAACCTGGGACCTTTTAGTCCGCAGGCCGACGCTCTATCCACTGAGCCACACCGGTTAGGGCTCCATTGCTTTTTAGAGAGAGTGGAAAGCAGGAGGAAAGATACAAAAAAAATTGATTTGTGAGAGACTCACTGATTGGTTGCCTCCCGCATGCACCCCAACCAAGGTATGAGCCCTTGATGCAACGGAACCCAAGACCCTTCAGTCCACAGGCTGACTCTCTATGCTCTGTCCACTGAGCCAAACTGGCTAGGGCTTTGTGTGTGTGTGTGTGTGACATAAGATTCTATTTATTTATGCCTGTAAGTTATAGTGATAAATTTTCCCTGGTCTTGTATTATTTGAAATATTGTTTCAGAATTCCCTAAAATTGAACTTTTTTTTTTAATCAAGATCATGAGTTTCCAGAAATTTTTACTTTTCAATTTTCCCTGGTCTTGTATTATTTGAAATATTGGTTCAGAATTCCCTAAAATTGAACTTTTTTTTAAATTAAGATCATGAATTTCGGATCTGAAAAGCAACAAAGTTTGTTGCTCTATTTAAAAGGAAGAAAAAACGTTTTTAAAAGGAACTCCAAAAAGATGGCCTAGAAATTACTCTGGGGGAAAAAAAACAGAAGGAGATTCCTGTCAAATATCTAGAAAACTGTAATTAAAAGTCAATGTACTAGAAAGAAAGAAAGAAAGAAAAAAGATCATGAGTTTCCAGAAATTTTTACTTTTTAATTTATGTTTGACTGTTACTTACGCTCTATTTATGAACCATACCATTTATCATTATGTAGTATCCAATTCTGCCAGGTATAGTGGTCAACAAACCAAGTCTGGCCTGCTGCCTGTTTTCATAAATAAAGTTTTATTGGGACACAGCCATGCTCATTTATTTAGTTATTGTCTACAATCGGCAGAGCTGAGTGGTTGGAGGAAGACTAATCACAAAGCCTGCATTTGCTGTCTGGCCCTGAAGATAAATTCATCCCCTGGCCGGGGTAACTCTGTTGATTGGAGCATTGTCCCATACACCAAGGTTGGGGGTCCAATCCCTGGTCAGGGCACCTACCAGATTCAACCAGTGAATGTATAAATACGTGGGACAACAAATGGATGCTTCTCCCTATCTCTAAAATTAAATAATTATTGCAATCATACCTTAAAAATCACATGAACATACGCACAATGAATGGATGCTTCTCCCTATCTCTAAAATTAAATATTATTATTGTTAATCACAACTTAAAAATCACATGAACATATATATAATATGGAATTTGGATGTTTCCCTTTTTAAAGGAAGTGTGAACTAAAATGTCACCTTGGAACGGGAGTGGAAAAGTTTCTGATTTCTCTTACTACCAACTAGTCAATCCGCCACTTTCCACAGGTAACCAGTCCCTTCCATTGCTAAGGCTCCATCACCCTGTTACAGACGAAGTACACATTCACCTCTGATCTTGGGTTTCACCCACACACACAGACTCAGTTACCCATTTCAAACTGCACCTCAACGCTAAGTGGCTCCTTGATAAATGCATCACAAATGTGTCTCATTTCCTCACACAATTCCTCTCTT